GAGAGAGAGAGAGAGAGAGAGAGAGAGAGAGAGAGAGAGAGAGAGAGAGAGAGAGAGAGAGAGAGAGAGAGAGAGAGAGAGAGGCTGACGACATGATGTCTTAGATCTTCTCCTGATGGAGGGGATAAGCAGCGGGAAAGCCGAAGATGGGCAAATGCGGGAACGCGGGTCAATTTGTCCGACTAATTTTATTAATTATTATTAATTAGTTATTGTATCGTAGTTGTGAAGTCAAATTAGAGAGAGAAAAGAATGGATGCGGATCGAGGGAGACATGCACTGGTGTTTCATGACTTTTGCTTTCCTATGTTTCGGTGAGGAGGCCTCAGAAGAACTCTGTGCTACTTTACAATCCACGCCTGCCCTTATGGAAGAGAAGGGAGAGAAGGGAGAGAAGGGAGAGAAGGGAGAGAAGGGAGAAATGGGAGAGGACGAAGAGAAGGGAGGCAATGACAGATAGGAAGGAGAAAGAGAAAAGAGAGGAGGAGAGATAAGAGAGGAGAAAGAAAAGGGAGAGAAGGAAGACAAAGAAAAGAAGGAAGGGATTAGGGAGTAGGAACGAAGTCTCTACTGCGTGATAACGGATCTGCGTCGACGAAGGGGGGTTTATTAGGGCCAGTCGAGGAGAGGGTTTGGTGGGGTTATTAGGGCCAGTCGAGGAGAGGGTTTGGTGGGGTTATTAGGGCCAGTCGAGGGGGGGTTGAGCTTTAGATATCCGAGGAGAGGGAAGCGGCGGGAGAGAGGCAGGTGGGGTTATTAGGAGAGGGTTTGGTGGTGGGACTGCACGGGACATAAAAGGCATGGTGTCACTGATTCCAGACATAGTAGTTTGTTTGCTGGCGGCTCATTCCCATCACGGATTTCTTTGGCTGATTCGTATTTTGTCGTTTTTGGGTGATTCGTATTTTGTCGTTTTCTGTTTGCAGAGGGGATATGTTCCTCCGCCTCGACACGGATCGGGAAAGTTTCGTCACATAGCGCATTTGATGGGTGTGGCTCCTGGTGGTAGAGGTAAGTTTTTTTTTATCTCTAGTTTTTTTTTTTTTTTTTGGTTTCAAATTGAAGGCAAGGAGCAAAAGTTACAAGACAAAAACAAATGCCATCAATTGCCGCCGTTTCTGTCTCTCTCTTCTTTTTTTTTGGTTGTTGTTGTTATGACTTTTGTCTGTTTTTTCCCCTCGTTTTTTCTGCGTATTTCTCTCGTTTATCGCGTTTTCGTTTCTTTGGGCTTTTTTCCCCTTCGGTGCTTTTTTTTTTTTTTTTTTTGCTTTCTTTTTTCTCTCAAAAGGGTTATTCTTTGAAGCCCAACCGATTTCAAGTACGTGTCAAATCTGGACAGGACGGCCTTTCAGGCCTTTTTTTTCCTTATCATCATTATACTACTACGTAGTATGGGGAACCCGTAGCGGCCAGCCCTTTTAAATTTGGACCATTTCTCGATTTATGCGTGTCATCCTTGCGCAGGGGCCATGCAATCTTCTCTGTATCGTTCCATTTTTAACGGATGTCCCGAAGGACAGGCCAGCCCTTTTCCTTTCCTCTCTTTTTCATTTTTCTTGTTTGAATTAGTTTTTTGCTGTCATCTCCTCTCCCAGCTGTCCGTCCCGCATTTCACCTTGTCGTTTCAATTCCCTCTCTCTCCCAATTGTCCCTTCCGCTCTCCGTCTCTCTCCCAATTGCCCCTTCCGCTCTCTCCATTCGTCTGTTTCTCCCTTAACTGACTCTCCGTCCTCCTGTTTTCCATTCTTCTCTATCTCCTCCTCTTTCTCCGTCTTCATTTTTTCCTCTCTTTCTCTCTTCCCCTAACTCCGCGTCTCATTCTTCTCTTCCCTCGTTCTGTGGCTGCTGCTCCACGTTTCTATCTTTTCTTTTCCTCTTCCCTGTCGGTGCTGCTCTCTTTTGTATTCTCTCCTCCTCTTAGATCATTGTCGGTGCTGCTCGACGTCTCCTCTTATCTTTTCATCTCCTCTTCCCTGTCCACCTTTCTCTGTTCATTATGCCGTCGCCCCCCTTCTCTCCCCCTTCTCTCCCCCTTCTCTCCCCC